TCGTTCACCACAAGGCAAAGGTTCGTCAGATCTAGAGATTCTAGACGGTCGTCATTGCTACCTTTGCCAGCCACCACCATCATGGAGAACATCGTTGTCCGGTGCCTCCTCATCGATCATGAGGAGAAGCCCATTGGATCGCTCTTCGAGGTCGACATACCTTCCAATGCCTCTGTCGACAACTTGAAAAAGAAGATCAAGAATGAGCATTCGCACGTCCTAAACAAAGTTGACGCCGCAGAGCTCATAGTGTGGAGGTGGAAGGAACCGAAGTTGTTCGCCGATGAAGACGAGGAACGGTTAGAGGAGTTTATCAAGGCCGTCGACTTCTCCGACGAGAATAAGGTTGTCGAAATCGGGCCCGCCGAGCAAGTCGCCAGCCTCGAGTTTGCTTTGATGAGATATTGCTCATACAGAGGCCCAGCGCGTTTCCACCTTCCTCTCGACAAAGCAGAGATCTGACTTGTGTTCTGGTGCAACTGCAAGCATCACCTCAAGCCAGAGGTACGTCTCAATGTGCTATTACCTTCTACCTTTATTCCCATGTTGCCCATAGACAACATGCTGCTTGAAGATGCCGAAGACCAATGCCAGTGGGTACACAACTGGGACCTTGTCAAAGAATATGAAGATATCTTCATCAAAGTGAATACGTGGGGGAACTTTGAGGAATCCGATATCCTCTTGAATAATGTAGTGGATATGGATATGGAAATAACGGAATCATCTCCGGATTCCCCGTTAGTACCAGACTTTGTCACGGAGCTCGAAGGAAAACTGATCAGCAAGCCAGGTCTGCCCCCTGATGTGTGCTGTTTTCCTGACATACCAGTCTGCTTCTTGATTCTGACAGATCAAAATAGACGCACCGCATTTTCAACTATATACAAGATCCTCGATGTCGGACTGCATATCTTGGGACTGACAAGATAACGACTTCTGAGCTCAGATCTCACGAACGAAAGGAACTGCCGTGGCGCAATGCCGAATTATCCGAGGTGCTTCATATCATGGACATTGCGTCTCAGCCATGGGAAAAATGTTGGCAAGAGCATCTCTCGCCCTTGGATGAAGAATTGGCAAATTGGATCTTCTTCTACAAGCTCATATTTTGGCTTCCAAAGGGCGGAAAGATCACCACCACTCAAATGTACGTGTTCGCTCGCTTACCCCCTTCAGTTGTGATTTAGCATTGTCTCTACAGAGATGACACTTCGTGGCCTTTCGAGCTTGTCATGAAGCGTACTGATTCTAATGAACAACTTCACACGTACAAACCTAAGAGTGACTTCCTCGTGTTGAAGTCAACTCTTCCTCGACTGCTCGTAGAGGTTAATTCGACACAAGCAGGACAGGTGCGCCGCGATCGTATCCGGATGCTTCTGATGGGCGCCGCTATCGTCCGTTTCGCAAACAGATTCTTGGACGCGTTCAAGCTGAAGAAGAACTTTGTCCTCATTGCTTTCTATATTCGAGGGCAAGGTGAGGTAAATCGCTTTATTCTGTTTCAGAAGGAGAATGGCCGTGAGGTGTGTTGTGCTTTCTATACAAGCAAGTTCGCATGCTGAGTCACCGCAGGTCTTTTACCATAAACACA